CATCTACTTGGCGGTGTGTGACGTGGCGTGTCAGAATTTGAATTCAAGATTCGGTGGGGGGAAGTTTCATGGGTTTTAATAAGACACTGAGGGAAGCGATAATAACATGAGATAAACTTACGTGGCAAGGAAGAGGAGGGAGAAAGAGAAGAGGGAGCGAGAGGGAGAGGATGGTTGAAATACAGCATGCTACAGCAGTCATGTCTGTCATTTCCTTCCTGGAGTCAGCGCACGATGTTGCCACCACCTGAGCATGTGAAGGTGAGGCGATGAAGGAGGAATGTAGGGAGAGGAACGAGGAGCAAGCGATGCGGATAGCAGCAGCAGCATTGGGAGTAGAAGCAGGAGGAGGAAGAGGAAGTGAAGGAGGGGGGGGAGATGCGTATCATTACGCTGGGGCCCTGGAGGTCTCTTGTAAGAAAGTTCCTTTGGCCTCCTCCTTCGCTTCCTGCCCTGCTAGTCGGAACGTCTTGGGGACGCTGGGGACGTGAGTAGGAAGGCGGTGAATAGCTTCCTGCATGAGCCGCTCTGTTCCAACAGTCCGGATAAGTCCAACCTGGTGAGCATCTCAACTCCTCCTCTTCCTGCTCCTGCTCCTGCTCCTGCTCCTGCTCCTGCTCCTGCTCCTGCTCCTGCTCCTGCTCCTGCTCCTGGGGCTCTTCTACCCAACATCACTGCCATCTCTTATTCCTCCTCTCCTCACCGTCATCCTTCACTGTCTCCCCCTCATATTGCTGTCATTCTCCACAACTCTCCGCTCTCTCCCCCTCCCCTTCTCGTACATTCGGCCACTCCGTCAGCAGCTGCCATTGAACTTCAGCATCATCGGTTGAATGAAGAGACTGTAGCCTGTAATGCCATCAATCCTCCTCCTCCTCCTCCTCCTCCTCCTCCTCATCATCATCATCATCATCATCATCATCATCATCATGTCGTGTTTCTCCTCTCCATTTTTCCTCCACTCTCCAATTTCGTCTTTCTCCTTCTTGTCCTGCTCCTGCTCCCCCAACGCTCGTTTCATTCTTTACTTGCTCTCGTCGCTTTCCTCTACCCCATCCTCCTCCTCCTCCTCCTCCTCCTCCTCCTCCTCCTTCCTGCTCGCTCGCTCGCTCTGTCGTCTCTTTTCTCGCCTCCATCCTCTCCCCTTCTCTCCTGCTGCTGCTCCTCTTCCCGGCCCTCGCACCTTGGGACAGACGGCTGAGGTACTGCAGTGCGGAAGAACCAGGAGGGCAGGGGGGGCACAGTAGGCAGCTGCACGAGTTTCGCCTCCTGCGACGTTTCACCGGTGGGAGGGGAGGAGGCTGAAGAGAGAGAGAAGGGGATAGGACAAACGATGGTGAAGAGAACGTCGAGCAAACAAGTTTGAGGAGAGAAATGGAGAAGAGGAAGAGGAGAGGAGAAGCAGGAAAGAGGCGGAGGTGAGGGAATGGAGTGGATGGTAAGAAGAGCGGGATGGGAAGAGATAAGAATGGGAAGGAAGGATGAGAAGTAGACCTGTTCAGCAAGAAATTTTGCCCGGATCTCTGCCCATCTGAGTAGCAGAATCAGCGAATGAGCACGAGGAGAAAGACGAGCTCGAGCTGAAGGGATGAGCAGGAGGAAAAGAGCAGGAGGAAATGAGCAGGAAGAAAGGAGCAGGAGAACGAGGAGATGATGGGTACAAGGGTGAGGAGGTGATGTATAAGGAGGAGGAGAGCAGGAGCAGGAGCAGGAGCAGGAGCAGGAGCAGGAGCAGGAGCAGGAGCAGGAGCAGGAGCAGGAGCAGGAGCAGGAGCAGGAGCAGGAGCAGGAGCAAGGAAAGAGCCTTTCCTCTTTCTTCTGGCTTTGATTCGATTCTCAAGGTTGATGATGAACTGCGGGAATTCAATCCCCTTCCTCCTCGCCTTGGACTTTTCTGCGGTGACCATGCTCTTCATCTTGGATGTCTGCAGTCGCTAACGTGAGGAGGAGTGGAACGTGGGAGGGGGAGAGAAGGGAGGACGTGGGATTAGAGGAGGGACGTAGAGAACAATCAGGAGGAGGATGAAGGAGGAAGCTGTGGTAGGGGAAAGATATGGACCGTGCCAAGCATGGGGACGAGAAGGAGATAGAGGTGGAACAGGTGGTGTGTTTCTGCTAACCTTGTAGAGATGTTTGAAGGCTTGTCCTGTCTTGTGAGCAACTTTGATTTTCTTCATGTTTTCCTTATTTCTCTTCGCTGTTTCGCCATGTTTCTTTCTTCTGGTCTTGTTGTCAGCGATGAGGGCGGAAGAGGAGGAGGACGGGAAAAGTGCACACAAACAGGAGAGTTGACTGGTATGAAGAGGAAGGGTGAAGGAGGAGGAAGATCTCTAGAGTCGTTGCTGGGCACCTGTTGAACAGATCGTTCAAGTTGGACTTTATGTCCTTAACAAACGATCGAGCTGAGTTGACAGTCTGCCAAAACCTCCTCATCAGCACCGTCCAAAAAAAAAGTCAACAACTCGTCCGGCTATCACCGAGACTGTAGACGCCAGGCTCTCGAACTTCAGGCTGGTCTCCAGGTGGGCATTTCTCCCCGCCCCCGAATCCTCGCCCTCCTCCTCTCTGTAGAGGCCGCTGACGATCTGAGTGACAGGCATGACATGCAGGGAGCACGATGCTGCTCGCGCACCTGCGAGAAGATAGAGGAAGCGGTTCTACAAATGTCCCTCACATCCTCTATAGATTCCCCCCATCCAGCTCCTTCTTCCTCCCCTGCTCCTGCTCCTGCTCCTGCTCCTGCTCCTGCTCCTGCTCCTGCTCCTGCTCCTGCTCTTGACAACTCCAACGCAGCCAAAGGTTCTGCGGCACCAACCATGAGCAGGGGGCGACAGTCTGGCTTCTTCTCGCTCCAACCTGTCTGGACGACCTTGGAAGTCGTTGCGCGACCACCTGAGACGCCCCTCGACTGCAACCTCGAGTGACTTCGAGCGATCTGGTCCAGCTGGCAGCAGACAGTCAGGTGTCAAACTTGACAGTCAGGTGCTAGCCTTCTTCATGGCGTCTTCCACAGACTGGTCGATCGACTGGCGGGGCAAGGAAGGGTGTCAACCACGAGGAGCTCGAGTCAAAGAGCTCTCCCACAACCTCGTCCTTGTTGGTCTCGATCTCGGTCACGTCGCCTTCCTCCACCGCCCGGAGACAAACGTTGACGGCCTCAATCATCTTGTTCCATCAAATTGTCATCGTCATCGTCATCGTGATAGTCGTTGTCATCATCGTCGTCGTCGTCGTCATCATCATCGTTATGCTCCTCCTCATCCTCCACCACCACCACCACCTCCTCCTCCTCCTCCTCCTCTTCCCAAACGAAAGTTCTGACCTTTCGCAGTAGTCGATGGTTGTGCTCTGCCTCCTTCCTCTTCATCTTCAGTTCCTGCGCATCTCTTTGCGCTCTGCTGCTGGCCGCCTTCGCGTTCTTCTGCTCTTCATCATCTCCATTCCTTGAAGCTGAATCTTTGTCATTGAGGCTGCCCTGCTTCTGATTCATCCCCTCAAAATCCTGCAACGGTCACGACATTCAAGACACGGAGGAGAAAGTCTCTTCACCTCTCCAGCTCTCTCGCACTGGACTTCAGCGTCCACTTTCTCCGGAGGGGCCATACTTGCCATCTTTCCCAGCATCGCTTCGAGTTCAGCACGGTTCTTCTCCTCCTCATCTTTCAGCTTCTGGAATTCTTCCTGCATTCTCCCGAGCTCCTTCGTCACTTTGTTCAACTCCTCTTGGGCCTCGTTCAGCTCGCTTGTCTTGTCCTCCAGTTCCTCTTTTAACGTCTCATTCGCAGTTTGACTCTCTTCTAGCTCTGCGCATTTCTGCCCAACAGTTCAATCAGCACTTTCCGTCCTATCCACCCCCTGACCTGGTCGTACTGGGCCTTATCTATCCCAGACTTCATCGTCGGCACATACTTGGCGAGGGAGCTCAGCCGAGGTTTGTTCATGAAGGAAGGCTTCGAGGACGACCCATCCTCGTCCTTGTTCTTCAGCTTGAGCTCAAGTTCTAGAATCTGATGCTCCAGCGACTCGTTTTCCCCCCTCATCATCTCAACCTGGGACACGAGCTCTTTGTTCTGCATCATCAACCCCGTGGCCGCCTGGAAGAGGCGTCAGTAGCGCAGCAAGCGAAGAGGAGCTCGGCATCAAGGAACGAGTAGAGAGAGGAGAGCGAGGAGAGCGAGGAGAGCTGAAGCAAATGCACACTGTAGCACCTCTTCCAGTAGCCTGACGGCGTTGTTCAGCTCCTGAGAGCCCTTCTCCAGCTCCTCTCCTCTGCTCATGTCCACCGTGCCCTTCATCCCCAGCACCAAGTCCAGCATGGCGGTGCTCCGCTGCAGCACGAGCATTACCGAGCCCTCAAGCGGGACCATGGCGGCGCTGGTCAAGAGTTGACGTCTCGACCGTTGATGGAGGAAACAAAAAACACCTTTACACCTCTGCATCAATTGTTTTTTTCAGTAAGGTCTGTTCAAATTCAAGTGACGCGGCCGGCCCCGGGCCCGGTGCAGGGCCCCTCAATCACCCCAGTCAAGTATTATTGATGTGGAGTAAATCTAACTTCATTCGTCGATATCATTACTGGCAAACATCACTAATTCAGAAACTACATCTAGCAATCCACAAGCATGTAAGTTTGAAACTGCTCTTTCGATATTGCATATCGCAGCGAACTCATGCTCCGATGTCTTCTTTTGTGCTTGACACAGAGAGTCGTGCTCACTCAGAATCCTTCGGATGATTTTACATCGGGTGTTGCCGTCAAGGGTTCTGAACGTTTCACAAACTGTCTGAATGAACAGCTCGGAGTCTGCCTTGGTATGCTTCTTTGGGGGACATGGATCAACATGCTCATCCTGTTGTATACACAACACAGAGGTTCAGAACGAGGCTAAGTAGAAGTTAGGAGATAACTTGAGAGCAAGAGAACAAAGGTAGACTACGTTTACTTAAGGTAAACTGCACACACGCACTGCGCACGGTAGTGCATGCGCGTCAAAGGGAGGCCCTATTTAGATGTCAGGGCGGATACTAAGTACCCGTACGAGTATCCGAGACGTCCGGATCCTCACGGATACAACATCGCTCCCATCTGCGCTTGACAACATAGTTCCATCTTGTCCTTCGCTGTCACATGAGGATCGACGACGAGGATCAATTGTCTGAATCAGAAGAGTCCGACGGCGGAAGCGCGGAGGTGGGGAGAGCTTGAAAGTCCTGACGGGCTTCGAATTGACGAATCAATTCACGCAATCCTGTCTTGCGTTGCAGAAGATGCGCAGGCAACCAAGTGCTTTCGCTAGCTTGATTGTAACCAGTCCATTTGACGAGATATTGAGTGCCACGGCCACGACGACGTTTGCTGAGAATGCTCTCGATTTCATATTCGAGGCCGTCGCGAGTGACGAGCGGGTCAGGCGGTAGGTCTGGCGACATGTAAGCAGGATCTCTGTCGACGTGAGGTCGAAGCCACTTGATGTTGATCACGGTGTTCCTGATGGAAGCAAAGCGCGATGAGACTTCGAGACGCACAGTGTTGTCCGAGACAAACTCCAGGATGCGAAAAGGGCCGACGAAGCGAGGGTTGAGCTTGGCAGAAGCGTCGGGAAGGTTGAGGTTGGCAGTGGAGAGCCAGACCATGTCACCAACTTGGTAACTGCAGGGTCGACGAGCAAGAGCTAGGCGATCCTCGGTGGCACGAGCAGCTTGTTCCAGGGCGTCACGAGCGGCTTGAGCGCTGACTTCAGAGGCTTCGATGATGGAATCTAACGTTTCCTCCTGATGATCAGCGGCAGCTGGAAGAGTGAGCTGAGTGCGGATCTGCTTGCCAAACATCACTTCGAAGGGGCTGAGTCCAGTAGGACGTCGCACGGCGGCGTTAAGATGGGTCTCCAGGATGGGAAGATACTTGTCCCAGTCGGCACGAGGGTACTGATTGCAGTAGATGCGAAGAGCTTCGAGCACAACTGAGTTCATACGCTCGGGTCGGCCGTTGCTTTGAGGCATGAAGGGCGACGAATGCTTGACGTGAACGTTGAGCATCTTGAAAAGCGCATTCCAGAACTTGGAGGTAAAGATGGCAGCGTTGTCGCTGATGAGAACCTTGGGAAGGCCTTGCGAACGAAACACTGTCTCGATGAACTTCTGAGCGGCTTGCTCAGAGGTAATGGTTTTACGACAAGGTGTCAGGTACACCCGTCCTGTGAACTCATCAATGAAGAGTAAAATAGAATCATTCTTATCTGAGGTCCGAGGTAGGCCAGTGAGGAGGTCGAGAGACACGACTTCGAATCGGTTGGCCGGCACTGCGTGGGAGTGCGGGTTGCCCATCTGCGTTTGGCGATAGGACTTGCCTTGAAGACAGTGAGTACACGAGAGGATGTACAGCTCGGTGTCCTTGCGGAGTTGAGGCCCGTAGACGGTCGCGGCGAGTTGTAAGTAGGTCCGCGAGAATCCAAGGTGAGACTGCAGATCGTGAGCACGTTGCAAGACTTCGCGCCGAAGAGCTTGAGGAATGCAGAGGCGCACGCGACGTAACGAATCTGTGTAGAAGAGTAGGCCGTCGTCGAGATGATACCGGGAAACAACTGTCTTGGATTGCAGACGTCGAATGATGTCCTGACTGAACGAGCAGGCAGGGTAAGCGGCTCGAATAGCTTCGGTAAGCGGTTCGAGGGTGCTCACGGTGAACGCAAGCAAGTATCCGTCTTCAGGACGGATGAGCTGCTCATGATGCGGAGCATCAGTGGAAAGGGCAGGGAGAGGAACTTCGTCCTGGCGGCTGAGAGCATCAGGCACGATGTTTTCGGAGCCTTTCACATAGCGAAACTCGGTGATAGCAAACTCGCTGAGGGTCTGGAGCCAGCGGATGAGACGACTGCTGAGCTCTTTCTGAGTTTGGAAGTAGGTCAAAGCCTGATGATCAGTAAAGACTTTGAACGCGATGCCAAGAAGATAAAAGCGAAAAAACAAGAGAGTATCCTTGATTGCAAGAAGTTCGCGCTCAGTGGCATGATGGCGCTGTTCGGTTGACGTAAGCTTGCGACTGTAGAAACCGACTACGCGAGCGGATCCTTGAGCGGGCTGTTGTAAAAGAACACCTCCGATACCGACATTGGATGCGTCGCAATGTACTTCCGTGGGCAGAGTTGGATCAAAGTGATGAAGAATCGGCTGGGAGGTCAAGGCGGCTTTGAGAGAATCAAAGGCCTGTTGACACTCAACGGTCCAAGCAAAAGCGACGCCTTTACGAAGGAGATCAGTGAGCGGGGCAGCAATCATCGAAAAGTTTCGGATAAATTTGCGATAATATGACGCCAGTCCGAGGAACATTTTGACATGCTTGGCTGTAGTAGGCGTCGGCCAAGCGGAAATAGCAGCGGTCTTGGCGGTCTGCGTGGTCACACCTTCAGCAGACACATGATGACCGAGGAAATCGACACTGGTGCGAAAGAATTGAGCCTTAGATTTCTTGAGAAAAAGTTGATTTTGACGACAACGGTCCAAGACGGCTCGAACATGATCAGCATGTTCTTCCCATGTCGAATAGGTGCCGATCACGATGTCATCGATGTATGCGAATGCAGCCGGAAGATCATGAAGGACTTGTTGAATAAATTCTTGAAAGATGCTGGTGGCTGTAACAAAGCCGAATGGCAGGCGCTTGTATTGAAAGCGACCTATGGGGGTGACGAACGCAACGTACTTGCGGTCGGAAGCGCGCACTAGCAGTTGCCAGAAGCTTTTGATACAATCCAAGGTAGTGACGCAGAGCTGCGTGTTAGGACGTCTAGCAGCCTGACCTTGGCGAACGATGTCCGCGAGACGTTCGAGCATCTCGTCGACCGTGGGAGTAGAGACTTTCGGTTGATTCAAGACGACCTGGTTCAAGCGGCGCAGATCACAGCAAAAGCGATAACTCTTGGGATCAAGTGGGGAGCGAGGGTCGTTTGGGCGTCGAGAGAAGAGTACGGGAAAGCCAAACTCACTGGATGACGGCTCAATGATGTCATGCTCAAGCATATATTCGATGGTGGCTTTCAATTCGCCTTCCAGGTGAAGCGGCACGCGATATGGGCGGCTGTTAATAGGCAATGTCCCGGGCTTGAGATGAATCTCGGCTTCGAACGAGCGATTAAGCTTGAGGTTGGTCGGAAGGTCGTCGACCAAGATGTCTGCATATTCAGTGCAGAGGTCGGCAGCTAGGCGAGCTGGGGTACCCGTGAGGGGGTCGGTAGTGGATGCTGAGGACGAGTCCGGAGCGATAGCCATACATTGCACAAGGAACCACTCGTCCTCCGGATGGGCAGCGCGAAGGGCATGCGCATCCGTCAGCGAGAGTGTTGTGACGGCCAGCACAGAGTTGTCGTAAGGAATCTGGTGCAGACTTGGCAGACAGACGGGCTTGGCTGATGACTTGCTGTCCACGTAGACTTCGCGTGTCTTGGGATGATAGACAGCGTTGTGAGCGTGTATCCACTGGAGGGAGAAGATCAGTGGCTGGGAACAATTCGGTAAGATATGAAACGTATCTGTAAAAGAAAGACGTCCAATGCGATAGGTCAGCGAGATGGCGCCGAGAGTTTCCACGCGCCGATTGTCGGCGACTTGAACCACAAATCGATGTTCGCGAGAAATGCGAGTGTCAGCGATTTTCAGCTGGCGAAGAAGTTGCTGGGAGACGATGTTGAGTGTAGCACCATGGTCCAGCAGAGCAACGGTTTCTGTTGCAGACGCATTCGAGGATGAACCGAAACAAACAGGTAAGCGAATGAGTTCGGGTAAGATGAGCTCGAGAGTAGCCGAATTGCAACTCTGACTCGGGGCCAAGCAGGGGCAGAGGTTGATCTGACCCGTGGAAGAAGACGTGAGGGTGGTACACGTCGCAGGAGGCAGCACAAAAGAGCTTGGCAAAGACGTACGGGTGCTGGAACCTGGTAAGGGAGGGGCATTAAGCGAATTGCCGGCAGGAAGGTCTGTGGACCCCCTCTTTCCTGCCGTCACTCGTTTCCCGAGGATCGGGCCGAGATGGTTTGGAGGGCAGCCAACAGCTGAGTGTGGCGCTCCTCTTCACGAGAATACCTGTCTTGAGTAGCTTTCCAAGCTGGACAGTCGGGCTTGACATGTCCTTTCTCCTGGCAGTAGTAGCAGCGAACTTCGCGTGGTTTCTTAGAACCGCGTGCAGAATTACCTTTCCCTTGGGCAGAACCAGCGCCTTTTCCGCGAAGTTAACCAGACGAAGAGGAGGAGGCTTGAGCAGCAGCAGCAGAAGCAGAAGGTGTCGACATCGAGCGATTGGACGGCTCAAGTAACTTCTGTGTGTAGGCGACAAGTTGAGACGGTGCCGCTATGTTTTGAAAACATAGCGGCACCTATTCCGTAGTGGTCGCGATAAATGGCGAACCAGGTATGCAGCGAGCCACGCGTCTGAGCGTGAGAGAACCCATTGATGAAGAGACGTAAGGTCGTGTCATTGACGTAAAGAACTGCTGGGCTGACTTGCTTCTCAAGTGTCTTGAGCAAGGTCGTAGCACGCGCCAAATAAGCCCAAGCATTCTCCGCAGAGGACTGCTTCAGCGGGCGCCATGCAGTTGCGGAGCTGATTGCCAAACTCGGTCCAGGAAAGACGATGGATGTCCATCTGCGAGGGATAGATACAATCGAGCATCACCATTACCTCTTCCGTAATCAACGGGCATATGGATTGCACCCATTTGGCTTCGGGGATCTCTTGCGAGGCCAGAGCTCGTGAACACTGCCGAAGAAAGTCATCGATCGAACGTGTATCGGTCATACCCTTGTAGGTGGGGATGCGGCTCCCGTTAAATTTGGGCGCCACGGTGGGAGTAGGCAGAACTTGGAAAGTGTCCGTCGAAGGCGCGGATGGCGGAGTGAGCTGAGCTGGCACGATGCTGTCCGATGGGACCTTCAGGGGGACGGAATTCATAGATGGAGCTGGCATCGGCGTGAGGACAGCATCCGACAGGGGCGCCTGGCCGGTCAGCATGGAGAGCTGAGGCGCCAGCACGGCAAGACGTGGGTCATTGTCGGCTAAGATGGCACAAATGTGGCCGAGCAGTTGGAGGCATTTGTCTGTTTTAGCATCCAACGCTGCGAGGTGATCAGAAGAAAAATTTTCTGACCTGGGCAGACATGCAGGATTTGCAGAAGAGGCTGCTCGTGGTTGAGCTGTCTCGACTGATCTTGGAACATTTGGTTGGGAAGCGTCCTCCCCGATTCGGGCCCGTTGCTCCACGCCTGCTGGCATGATGCTTTGCATGTCTCCGCTCATAATAAGTTGTGTCGGGATAATCTCGGCGTCCGTTCCATGAGCACTAAGAATTTCCGTTTCCCGAGCAGGGGAGATCGATTCTTGAATCTCCATTCCCTCTTGTTCGCTACCAGAGTCTTCTTCTTGAATGAATCTTAACTCTGATTGTCTGCTTCTTGACGATGGGCTTCTCCCTGAAGCAGCTTGCTTTCTGTATCCTGTTCCTCTACCGTACTTCGATGGCATGAATGAACCAACTTCGCTTCCAGAATGTTGTATACACAACACAGAGGTTCAGAACGAGGCTAAGTAGAAGTTAGGAGATAACTTGAGAGCAAGAGAACAAAGGTAGACTACGTTTACTTAAGGTAAACTGCACACTCGCACTGCGCACGGTAGTGCATGCGCGTCAAAGGGAGGCCCTATTTAGATGTCAGGGCGGATACTAAGTACCCGTACGAGTATCCGAGACGTCCGGATCCTCACGGATACAACAAGATGAACGGTTCGTTAAACAAGTCGAGAACGGTGGAACTCCAATGAATGAACTAGACCACCTGCACCTTGAACTTTCTCGCATCAAGCGCCCATTTGTACAGCAAGCTGCACAAGCCAAGGCCTTGAAAATTGCAGATGAAATAAGGCCAGTGGAAGGGTGTTCTACACGTCTAGTTCCTCTTCAGCCGCACAAGAAGAAAAGCCGTCAGATGACAAATGTTCCTTTCTAAAACGAAACTGCTCCAGAAACTCTGCGTCCGTGAAATGTTCTGCAGATTTGAAACTCCCTCGTGAATAAGACCTCATGTACGGTAGAGAAATCCAAATGAGGTGACGATGAAGTAATGCACACAAAGCATTTAACCTGCAGACAATCAACTTGGAAACAAACGATCCAAATCGAGAGCGGTGGAACCAATCAACATGCACACAAAGGATGTTGAGGAGCCATTTCACACGTCGTTTCGCAATGTATTGCTCCATATGAGATAGGTGTGTGCGCCTGATGGATAGCATGTAACTCCTTGTACCATTTACTACACCCCTTACCAAAAAATGAATTTAGGGGAGCTCCGAGAGCTCCGAGGGGATCTGGTACCAACAAACGAGGGATCTGGTACCAAAAAATGAATTTAGGGGAGCTCCGAGAGCTCCGAGGGGATCTGGTACCAACAAACGAGGGATCTGGTACCAAAAAATGAATTTAGGGGAGCTCCGAGGGGATCTGGAGATTAGAGGCTAAACCATACACCACCACCCACACCACCACGGAACCCTACCCCATCACACTCCACACAGTGACCTCTCACTCCAAGAGATTTAGCAATTCCTCATACAAGCTTCTTCCAGCCGTAGTAGAATCAAGAACAGGGGGTTAACCAACAATATTTGGCGCTGGGATAGGATGTAGATGAGATACGACTGCTCAGTGTAGTACTACAAGACCAGTGGGTCAAGAAGCTTCCAAGGGGGTAAGGGAGTACAGTGGGAGGGGGATGGGGTAGAGAGAGTGAAATGGGGGGGTGGAAGGAGGGAAGGGTTGTCACTTTGAGTAAAGGAGAAGGTTGTACGGGTGTCAACATGCACCATGCGAGAGCGACCAATGCTGTCACCCCTGCCAACGTTTGGACAGGAACAATGCTGAGATTGTACGTGCTCTGTATGCTGCTAGGGGGTTGGATGTGCCCGCAGGCCTGGGGAGCAACCACTGTGAGCTGTGGAAGCTGCACGTTTCATGTCTCGGATGAGGGATTATTGACGAGGGAGGGGAGCTGTGTGGGTGACTGTGGAACTGATAAGTGGGGTATAAAAGAATTGTCTTTGGATTTTCTGGGCATTCGGAACATTCAGAACGGGACTTTCGATGGGCTCTCGAGCTTGGGAGAGCTAAGTCTTATGTCCAACAACCTGGAGAGTCTTCCGACTGGTTTGTTCGATCCGCTGACAAGTCTGGTACGATTGCACATAAGTTACAACAAGCTTTCAAGTCTTCCGCAAGGGATCTTTCAGAACCTCGCCAACTTGTGGGAACTTCACTTGTACCACAATCAAATCGCAAGTCTTTCCGCGGGAATCTTCGACAGTCTTGCGGGCATGTGCTGCCTGTACCTTGATGACAATCAGCTCTCCAGCCTTCCCGATGGCATCTTTGACAATCTTACAAGCTTATGGTTTCTACATCTTTACAACAACAACCTGCAGACTCTCCCTGAAGGAATCTTCGACGGGCTCTCGAGCTTACAGCAGCTGTACCTTGACCACAACAAGATTTCCTGCATTTCTTCCAAGGCTTTCACTGGTATGTCTTCGCTTTCCACTTTAGACCTGACAGACAACAATCTACCGTGCTATCATTCGTCCTGGCCAGATTTCTCTCTATGGGATGCGAACCTTGAACCATGCTTAAACGAAACTCGCTGCCACAACATGTCTCCAGCATTACAATGGACCCCAAGTACAACACCAACAGGACTTGCTCCACCAATTTGGACTGTTCATCCGGACTACCTGAGCTGCCGAATACAGCATGAGTGGCAAGAAGTTGTAGATAGTGAGCTCGCGATGAACCACACCATAAAGACTGGCGGACTCGGGAAATGGATGGTGGAAGACAAGTTCGAGGTGTGGGTGTGCACCCATCGAGACAAGTGTGCAAGGCCAAGGAATGCTTTCTGTTATGTCTTTGACGAGCAGGAGGAGTTGTTTATACCATGGTAATATGCCTTGCTTCGTTGTTTTTCCAGTCTGATGCATTTCTGCAGGGGGCTAGAGGATGAGCTCATGCTAAGCAGAGTGGACGAATGAAAGCGGTCACGTGAGCTTTTCACCATCCCTGGAGGTTTGTTTGGTTTCACTGAGAGAGCCTGACTCATAAAGTTAAGTTGAAAATCAGTACGTACTGCCCGACGGTCGCAACAAGGACCCGCGGGCCGGCAAACGGGAGGCTTGAGTCCCGCCGGGGCCCGGGGCCTGCAGTGCGGCACTCCGGGGCCGCCCGGCCCGGCAGGGTGTACGGTCGGCGCCCGCCGCCGCCGCGGGCCGGCCGCCGGGCCTGATCACAGAACTTCGGAAGTTACTGAGGGCCCACAGGCGGGACTGGGACGTGAACCACTGTTCGTGCAGTCGCTATGGCAGGTGTGGAGAGCTGAGCTGCGCTATAGGTAGAGAAGCTGAGGAGGAGAAAGAGCTGAGGAGGAGGAGTATGAGGGATCATCGAGGTCCTCAAGGTAGATGAGATAGACGTCAAGGTGCAGGAGGTAGAGGCCGCAGGAGAGAGTGGAGAGAAAGTGGAGCTTCAGCGAAGGTCAGATCTATAGGGGACAGCTTATCGTACGGGGTTGGAATGTCTGTCGAATTCAAGACTATCTTGAAGCCGAAGTTCTGCTACATGCGAGTTCAACTGAGCATTGCGAATGTTCCATCGACATTTCTTGATCTTCGAATGTACAAGAGCGTAGTTATCTCTTCCATCCACGACATGTACGGCGATGTTGGGCTGCCAGGAACGATCGACGTGATTGAGATGATGGAAGACAAATCCGCGATCATCCGCGCTCCATTCGAGTGGGTGCTCCTTCTCCCATCAACTTATCCTCCGCCTTTATCTCCTCCTCACCTCGACCACTAGAACCTTCTCCTCCTCCTCTTCCTCCTCCCCTTCTACCACATCTACCTCCTCCACTCCTCTTCACCAGTCTTCCTTTCGTTTGTCTTGCTCTGCACCTGCACCTGCACCTGCACCTGCACCCGTGTTTCCCTCACCAGTACAGCAGGAAAGCGACAGAGCTCAGAAACGCTCTGTCCTTCAAGTCAAAGTTTGACGGCAACGAGTGCGTTCTGCGAGTGCTCAAGGTACATCGGAAGAGCTGAGAAGTCTTCCTCGCTCTGATCCCATGACAGGTCGCTGGTACTCTGATCTCGGTGCAGAACACTGGGACTTTCCAGCATCAGTCGCTACCAGAACCGTGTGCATGATGGTTGTGCTAAGGAGGAGGAGGAAGGGGAAGGGTGGGGAGTTGGAGAGTGGAGATGCTCTCTCAGGGAGGAACGTGCTGTTCTGATTGTGAGGAATGTTTTGCTGAGGATTCTTTCCGCGCAAGTTAGGTGCTTGATGATTATGTTCAGAACTTTTACCAGGCACTATCACGTGAAACCCTCCATCTACAAGTATCGCTACGGATGCGCATCAAAGGGAGTTTGCTAGTTAGATGCAAACATACACATAGGTCAAAGAGATTTTCTTTCCTTGGCTCTTTCCCCCCCTCCTCGTCCCCGTCCTTTCTCCCCGCTAAAAGCTTCAGTCCTTCCTGCTCGATCGCTTCTTTGGCTGTAGGGATAGTCAGCCAATACTCCTCGGATATCATGACTAAAACGGCGGCGGCGGAGCAGGAGCAGGAGCAGGAGGCAGGAAGGAGGAGAAAGGAGGAAGAGAGGAGGCAGGATGGTAGAGCAGGGGTACCTTGCTTGATGCAGCAGCTCCTGGAGTGCTGATCTCCTCGATCTCTGCGCAGGAATGAGTTTAGCTGATTCGATTTTGTCGTGGCTAATTCTTTTACCTTCATCCTCAGCATCTTCGGCCTTGTCTACATCGCCAACATCAGGATCCTCCCTTCCCAGCTCCCTCCCCAGTTCCTTCCCAGCTCCCTCCCCAGTTCCTTCCCAGCTCCCTTCCCAGTTCCTTCCCAGCTCCCTCCCCAGCTCTCACCTTCAGTCGTCTCCTTGTCATCAGGGGTCGGCTCGTCGGTCTTCTTGCTATCGCTGGGCTCTGCCTTCTGCTCTCGAGGGTTATGAAGGCTCGACTCCTCCTCCTCTCGACTCACCTTCTTGGCTGCCCCCTGCCTGCTCTTGGGGGCAGACTGAGCTGGGGAGATGCAGATGTAGACGAGGAGGATCATGAGCAGGGCGCAGACTCCTGCTCGCTACCGTCAGACTCGAGACGTAAATCGGAGGGGAGGTGTAGGACCGAAGACGCCGATGACGACGACGGGCTTCTCCTTGTAGAGCTCGCCGATCTGAGTCGAGGCAGTGAGGCGGTGACAGGAGTAGCGGAAGGGAAGGAAGAGGAAGAGAAGAGAGAAGTGAGAGAAAGTAGGAGAAGGGAGGAAAAGGGAGGAGAGAGTGGGAAATAAAGGAGGATGAGAAAATAAAGGAGGATGAGGGAAGGAGGGAGGCGAGGAGGAGGAAGGACTAGCGATCAGGTAAATATCGAAACATCGTTGCTCACTTGGATCTGCATATCCGCCAGTGCCTTGGAGAGATTCTGAACCATGCCCGGAGCATTCTTCGCTATTTTAGCTGCCTCCTCCTGCACCCTCATCAACATTCGTGATGGTACAACAAGCAAACAATGAGAGGAGGAGGAACAGGAAGAACAGGAGGAACGGGGGAGGAGGAGGAGGAGAAGCAGCAGCAACAGTAGCAGAGGAGCAGCAGCAGCAGCAACAGCAGCAACATCAAGGGCACCTTGTTGCGGACTTTCCAGGTCTTCTCCGCATACGAGGTAGCCACCGCCTCGGAGTTGGTGATGAGGAGGTTGTCAAAGACGATGCCGCCTGGCGCCACGTCACGATCGCCATCGGGGAGGAGGAGGAGGAGGAGAACAAGTCTGACCAGCGTTGGTCAGGAGCTCGATGCCGATGGCGTCCATGGGATGGACGTTGTGAGGGTGGAGGTCTTCGAACCAATCCTTGTTGGGGATCTGCCAAGCAACGTGAGATGCGACTGTCAAGAATGGGGGGCTGAGACTTGACGCTCAGGTCGAGTCCACTAGGGCAGGGAGGGAGGAGGGAGGAAGAGCGATGTATGGACAAGAGGAGGCACAAGGTTGAAGAGGATCAAGTGAGGGGGGGAGAACACGGTTGAGCAGACAGGTAGGGAGGGGAAGGAGGGGACGAGGGACGAGGGGAGGGACAAGAGGAGCGAGAGAGAGAGGGAGCGAGAAGATGGAAGCAAGTAGGCGGGACGTAGACCTTGCGAGGAGCCCATGGGCCCTTGTAGTCGGGGTTGTCGATCTTGGGGGGGTACCATTTGCCCTTGTAGGCCGGGTTGCGGATGGTCGGGCGCTTCCACTCTCCGCATCCTACCTTGCACTGTGGGAGGTGGTGAGATCAGAGCGGATGAGTTTGGGGGAGGGGGAGTGAGGAGGAGGAGGAGGAGGAGGAGGAGAAGGAGTACGTGGTATTGGTGGTGGTGAGAAGGAGGAGGAAGAGATGAGCTTTATGAGAGGAGGGGGACAGAAAGAGAAGAAAAGTGAAAAGAGGAGAGGAGGAGAGTAAAGATTTTGAGAGGACGTAGGAGCAGGAGTCCGGGTCGAAAGACAGAACATGTACAGAAGGAAGGAAGAAACCTTAGGGTTGTCAACGATTGGGGCTTCCCAGTCTCCATCCTCCTCGTCATCCCAGTCATCAGGCTTCTTGGCTGAGCAGGTGCAGGAGATCAGAAAGAGACAGAGAGCAAGGCAGGAGCAATCTCGGTACCATCGGGATCAGGAACACGCAGAGGCTCGTCGTCGTTCCACCCACTCGGCTTCTTGGCGTTAGCGTCCTCGATGTACTCAGGGAGAGTCTCATCCCAGTCTGTCCCGACGCTCGTCAGCATCTGCCCAGCTATGGCAGCGGCCCCACTCACCAGCGGGCTTGCTGGCCTTGGGATCATCCATCTTGGGTTCATCGACCCAATCCGAAGGCTTGACGTCATCAGGGTCGTCGATCTCCTTGGGAGGGTTCACAGGAGGGTCCATGTCCTGCCCGCAGCCGTCAACACGAAGGGGCAACAAGAGGATCGTAGAGTAGCAGCACCTTGAGCAGGCTGCCCTTCATCTTGCTCTGCATGTCCACAAGGATCTCGAACGAGTTGTCAGGGCGGATGATAAGCGTGTACAAGTGAGTCATCCTGCACAACACGTGAACACAGGGGACATGCGCGCTTCCTGGACTCCCACTTGTCGGCTGCACTGCTTGCTGGCGTCCCCTTGGCATGCTGCAGGCCAGTCCATGTCAGCATCCTCCTCTCCTCCACTACAGACTCCACCTTCTCCTCCCATTGCTTCGTCACGGGGTTCTGGTGCTGAAGGATGAAGTGAACCTTGTCGGTGCTCCCGCAACGATCCGGCCCGAACATGATGGTGTATCGGAGGTTGTTATCAAACTCCTGCAGCTTCTTGGCCGCGTCCTTCTGCAACAACTTGATGTACGCGCCGTCGCACGCCAACCCGTTCATGGCCTTGACCTGATCACGGGGAGTGTTGACAACCTCTCTCGACCTCATCCTCCTCCTCCTACCTCATACTGCACGACAAACGTCGAGTCCTTCACTTCGATCGGCTTCTCAAAGGCCGAGGAGAGCGCATGTTTCTGCCCCGCGCTTCCCATCCTCAGCCCATAATCCTCCGTCACCTCGGAGTAGTTCTTGACCCACTCCCACTCCCCGGTGTACTCGCCTGCGGCACAACATGCGTCATCCTATCGCAAGGTGGTACGCACACTACTTACTCGAGGTTGTGTTGACCCACTTGGACTGCCATCCCTCGCTGAAGGGTTCGAAGAAGTAGTACTGGGGAGAATGCGGGTCAACAGTCGACACGGCCTGAACTTGACTCGTGCGTACCTGGCCGTCAGGGAGCACGGATGCCGCTTTCTGCAGCTGCTCCGATGACTCCACAGCCAAGGCAGACAACAGGAGAAGGATACACGCTGCAATTACTTTCGCCTTCGCATCATGATCAGTGAATCATACTAACCATCACAGCAGTTGTCACCATCCTCAGCAAAATCGGCCAGCCAGGAAGGAAGGAGGTGCAAAACTGGATCAAGAGCCTATGGCAGCATAGAGTGAGAGGAAATGAGGTCAAATGAAGCTTTTCAGTTGATCCCATGGCAGCTGAGACCTTAAACTACGTAACATACTTGCACATGCACAGGAATTCCTATCTTTTCATCGTGGTACATACTTTCGAACACTCAAGAGCTCCTTACACTGATGTGCAGATGAAATCATGCATCGTACAAGTCTCTGCGGGCAACGAACAACAGTGGTTGCACAGTAATCTCCATGCTCGCTTCGCTTGTCATCGACAGTCTGCTAATTCCAATGAGCACTCTCTGTGAGCGCTCGTTTCTCGAACTCCTTCTGCAGCTGCCCCTGCCCCTGCCTGTGCCCATTCCCATACCCTCCTACTCATGTTCATGCTCCTCCTACTGCATCTCCTCCTCCTCCTCCTCCTCCTCCTCCTCCTCCTCCTCCTCCGCTCTGCTCTTGCCCATGCCCCTTGTCCGTGTCCTTGATCTTCTTCTGTTCCTGGTATGCTGCTCCTGCTCCTCTCCTCCTTCTCCGCTTCCCCTTCACTCCCTCCTTCGGACATAGTCTCCCGTCAAGATAGACCCACCCCCATGCTTCCAACCGACCCCTCCCTAAAACAATTTCTTCGTTAAGTAATTGTTTTTACTGTGATTGCCTACTTAACTAATAAATAATTAAAGACATCAAATAAAGTGTTTGAAAATTAAAGGTAAAATTCTCTGCCCTTCGAGTTCGGTTTACCTACCCTACCCCAACATTCTACTCTTTCGACGAGCCCATCACCCTACCGTCTAGAATCCACAAGGCGACATGATGAAAGGGGGGGTATTGAACAGACAGTTACAGTCATAAGGACCTCTTGCATGATTGGTCCTAGGAACTTGATAGACTCTATGTAGGATGACGTAGTATGATGTAACGGAGATCGAAGTTCTCGAAGTGGGACAGGAAATCAGAGGTGTGCTAAATCTGAGACAATGTTCTAGATTTAGCTGACCAGTAGTATTTTTAGTCTCAGGCCGTCGGACTCCGGGCCGCCCGGCGCCGAGGCATACCGAACGGCCGGGCGCCGGTGGAACTTCCCGTGGGTTGAAAGGGGATGAGGGTGAAAATAGAGAATGAGGGAGATGAGTTTCTGTTTTGTCCCGGAGTTGGGCTGGGAGTGGGGAGAGGGCATAGCTGGACGAGGACGAGGACGAGGACGAGGACGAGGACGAGGACGAGGACGAGGACGAGCAACAGCAACAGCAACAGCAACAGCAACAGCAAGAGGATAAGTTTGGATAAGGGAAAGGAAGATAATGAGAGAGATAGGTGATTGCCAAGGCAGACGTAGTGCTTGTAAGACAGGATGTGGCCAATCTTCAACAGAAGAGATACAAGCCGGGGGTCAAAGTTGGTATGAGGGGGGTCAGTACATAGCCGAAAGTATGAGAGGATGGCAGATGCAAAAGATACTGAGATGAATTAAATGAGAACAATACTAGAATGCATGGATTCCGCTCGGTTCGATTGATTTGAAGATAGCTTGGGCTACATCAGAATTGGACTCACAGATTCTTTCTCGTTTGCTGTCTTGCTGATGTTTTGACATGGCAAGATTTTTACCCAGTTGTCCATTGTTAACCACTTGTACACAGGCGGGCACAACTTGCACCCGTCTGAGATGATGTCGGTGGATCGAAACTTCCTGAGTAAAGGTTGGCCCAAGAGGGGAGAGCAATGGCTGACAGATGTTCAGAGATCGCTGGTGAAGTCTTCGACAAGGATTCAAGATACATGCATGCACCTGGTTGTGCCTTCCTTATCTGTTGAGACGCCCCAGTGACCAATGAATAGATTGCAAGCGAGTACGAAGGCTTGATGGACCTCGACGGTGGGCAAAGCGGATGGGTGAAGATGGGAAAGCGAAGGGAGAGGGGGGGCTGACTGTGCGAGGAAGACGAATATGCCTGCGGCGGTTTCAAGCGGAAGGAATGCTCAAACATCTCTGATCCAGGTGACCTGCTTCCCGCCTTCTTCATCTACTCCCTCCCTTCTTCTCCTCTCGTCGCTCGCAACTTTCTTGCTGAGTCGACTTTGTTCAGGCGTTCGCGGTTGCCACCGGTCTGGTTCACTTAGCGGAACCTATGGAAGGAGAAACTATGTCCTCCAGCCCTGCCCGTGCTGTGAGCACATCCATGAAGAAGAAACAGGACGCGAAGTTCGCTCAAACTGTCAAGGACCTTACTTCACAGCATCTCCTCTTAGCTTCCTTCCGCCCCCCAAAGCCAGTCATCCCCGCTGAACGCGTGACTTCCGCCCCCTCAACCTGCGCCTGCTCACTTTTACGAAAGACGACCAAGGAGAGCGAAGGAGGAACGAGCCAGCAGCTTGTGGAAATTCTCTCACGGAAGTCGGTGAGGGTGCCGGTGAAGCGTCGGCTTGGAGCTTATTTCTGCTGTCAGGCCCGTGAGATGGAAGCTTTCCAAGCGGTGCACGCAGCCAACATGGCAGAGAACAAATTGAGAGAAGCCCTGCAACCAAAGTGAGTGGAGGACGAATAGAGGAAGAAGCCGGGGGGTTTGGGGGGAAGGCAAACAAAGGACGAGGGGGGGTTAGGGTTGGAGGAGGAAGAGGCATGGAGGAGGAGGAACCCTCTGAAGCAGCGGCAGGTCGGATGCGGAGGGGATGAAAATACTCGGGTGGTACCACAGAAGCAATGAAGCAGGGAGGGAAACAAAACGAATACGAAGGAAGCTATGCGAGCACGGGCGGGTCCGATCGAGATGCAAGGGATGCGGGGGCAGCAGCATATGCGAGCACGTGCTGGTGCGATCGGGATGCAAGGGATGCGGGGGCAGCAGCATATGCGAGCACGGGCGGGTCCGATCGAGATGCAAGGAGTGCGGGGGCGGGAGCATATGCGAGCACGGGCGGCGGCGATCGGTATGCAAGGAGTGCGGGGGCGGGAGCATATGCGAGCACGGGCGGGTCCGATCGGGATGCAAGGGATGCGGGGGCGGCAGCATATTCGAGCACGGGCGGCGGCGATCGAGATGCAAGGGATGCGGGGGCAGCAGCATATGCGAGCACGGGCGGGAGCGATCGGTCTGCAAGGAGTGCGGGGGCGGCAGCATATTCGAGCACGGGCGGGAGCGATCGAGATGCAAGGGCTGCGGGGGCAGCAGCATATGCGAGCACGGGCGGGAGCGATCGAGATGCAAGGGATGCGGGGGAGGGAGCAGCAGGTAAAAGCTGGGGGAGAGCTGATCAGTGTTGTTACTCGCTTCTGACGTGTCATCATTCCGATGATTTCATGTCAGTGAGAGGACTGGCAGGCGGCATTGAGATGCAGGGGTTTGACGTAAAAACACTTGACGGATCACATGGATCATTTATCAGAGCCCAAACTTGCCCGGCCCCGGGCAAACTGAGAGGATGTAACTTCTCTATTACGACTGTTCGCTGCAATACTACCGATCAGATGGTGACCAGAGGAAGTTTTTCTCTATTTAATGAATACTCTTATCCCAGAAGTCAATCACCTACCTGCTCTTTACTACGCAACAGCATACACATGATCAGTCACTCCGTGATCCATCGAATGTTAATAGAGCAATCCGACGAGTCCGACGGAAAAGAAACTGACTCGACACTGAGCTGAAGTCAGAGTAGAGGCCCGGAGCACCCTGGGAAATCCGGGCCCGCCCGTCGATAGACGAGGAAAGGGTCGGAACGGTGGCAAGAAGGACAGCAGATGCCGGGACAAGGAACGGCACCGCACGGTATCCGGGAGGAAGGTTGAGTCCGGTCCAGTCACTGTCTCCGGCCCGGACCTCATCCCCGCAATGATCCCCCATCAAGCGCCGGGTCAAAGTTATCCAACGGGCCGAGCGCAATGGTTGGGGGGAGGTGAGGCCGGAGGGACAAGTGAGGAGGAAGAGGAGGAGGAGGAGAAGGAGGAGCAGGTTGCTGAGAGGAAAGTAGGACATGATTGGGCGAACAGGTAAAGAGATGGGAGACGGATATGGCAAAGGAGATGGCGGGGACCTGAGGAGTTTCGCTTCAAGGTTGTGAGGAGAGGGTTATGAGAGCCGAGCAAAAGAAGAGATGAGGGAGAGAGAGAGATAGGGTGTGATGTGGAATAGATCCGAAAGGGAAAGGATGGAGGGAATGATGTGGGATTCAGAAAGACCGGGAAAGGGCAGGTGAGGTGGAATTTCAAACGGGAATAGAAGATCGGGGAGGAGAGATAAGATCGTGTTTGTTCATGGCAATGACATGAAACCTTAGGAATGTTGGGGATCTTGTTTTCATGGGCAAAGCCCGACAATGATCGGGAATGAAATGGGCCCAAAATCGCGCTTGATCTGATTTTGGAATTGTTGTTTGAATACCCGGCGATTCCATCATCTATCCATACGGCACGTGGGATGGGGATGAGACAAGAAATGATCGTCGCTGTCATGTTGCTGGGTTGGAGTATACGATCAAGTGTTGCACAGATAACGGATGCAACAAGATCTCTGAGCAGCGGAAGCGGACTGCAGTATGCCACTGCTGGTATCCTGTCCCAATTCACCATTACTGCTTTCGAAGAGAGCGGTTTGCGCAGAACATCCGGTGGAGATGAGTTTTTGGTGCAGCTGGACGGGTCTCAGTCGTTGCGAGGATCGATCATTGACAACCTGGACGGTAGCTATCAGGCAACGTACACGGCGACGATCAGTGGGGCGTACGAGATATCCGTGTTGCTGTTGAGGGAGGGGGGCCTTTCTGCTGAGTACTTTGAGAACGTGTGGTTCTTTTACACTCCCGTCCAAGTCGCGATAGACCCTCAGATCAATCACAACTGGGGCACGGGTCTAATCACCGCAAACGCAGCAGATTACGTCAGCGTACGATGGCAAGGGAAGGTCAAACCTTACTTCACGGAAACTTACACGTTTTACTTGACAAGCGACGATGGGGCTAAGTTATGGGTTGAGGGCGTGCCTCTGATCGATCGCTGGGACAGCTATTGCAATGAAACCTCAGCAACCATTGCGTTGCGATCCAATGTATATTCTGATATCAAGGTAGAGTACAAGGAAATTACTGGAACGGCCCTCATCTTTCTCTTCTGGGAATCTCCTTCGAGGCCAAAAGAAATCATTCCTTCATCACAATTCTTCTATGAAACACACACTGCAAAGAGCCCCTTCGGCCTTGAAATCGCTCCCACGGTGGCCAACGGGTCGACCAGTCAGGCCGTTGGGTCAGGCTTGTCAGTCGCTACTGCAGGCATTGCGGCAACTTGTACGGTGCAAGTCAATGACATGTATAGCAATGAGAGAGGTGTGGGAGGGGACAAGCTATCGTTGAGGTTGTATGCTCCATATACCCGTCAAAGTGAGTCTTGTCGCATCGGATGCAGCAATCAGTCGAGGTCTGTTCAAGGAATCGTGATTGACAACACGGACAGCACTTACGGGATGGAGTATGCGAGTTATGTTTCAGGATACAGCACCTTATTCATTTCTTTGCTCACTAGGGGAGGCGTCATGGCTACATATTATGACACTGCTGACTTCGGGTTGCCCCGTGCTGCCCGGGCGGCTTCCACTGGAACTACAACATTGTCCATGATTGGCTGGAACTCTGCTAGTTTGACCGCAGGACTGCCTGGCACATCCATCTACGCTGCAGACGGCTACTCCGTGCGCTGGGTGGGGCTGGTTGGGGCGAGTCAGGACGGGGAGTACACCTTCCAAGTCTCGCGCACGTGCTCGCTGACGTCGGACAGGGTTCGGCTGTGGATTGACAACTCAGTTGTGATCGATCAATGGACTTCGTTGAGCCAGGGGACTTCGGGCTCCTCCTGCAACCCGACGGGAACTCTCGCGATGAACGCTTTCTCGTATTACGACATCTGGATGGACTACAAGGTGGTCGGGCCCGTTAACCTCGCCCACCTCGTCCAGCTCAGCTGGAAGTCAGGGACAGGGATCATGCAGGTCCTGCCCTCTACCATGCTGTATGAGGGGTATCCCATCCATGCCAGCCCCTTCTCTGTCTTCATCTACCCGTCTGTCACATGTGCCACCAAGTCCATCGCGACACCGAACCAAGTTTCACCCGGACACAGTCTAGAGCTGGCCACAGCCGGAGTGCAGGCGGAGTTCTCAATCACGGCCAAGGACCTCTATGGCAACCTCAAGGGGCAGGGGGGGGACACTTTCCTCGTCAGGTTCACGGGGGTGGACTCTGCCAGTGGAGTCGTGGACGATCGACAGGATGGGACTTACCGAGTGTTATACACTCTGACTCAGAGTGGAACATACAGCTGTGCTGTTGTGTTCGGAGCCTTCGGTATCTCTGCAAGTCCTTTCAGGATCACCACCCAGCCAGCCCGTAGGAACCTGGCAACGAGTGTGGCGTCAGGTTTCTCGCTGTCTATTGCAACGGCTGGAAGGGAAGGGGTGGTGACTATCACAGTCAGAGACAGCTTCTACAATTGGCAACCTGACCCTTCTGTCTCTCAAGCCAACGTCAAGGTAGACTTGGTCGACGTGCTGAGCGGCTACAGACCTTCAGTCTATGTTCCTCCCCGACAGCCCGGCGATCTCCCGGCCTTCACTGACACGACCTCGTACATCGGAGACTTCACGCTAGCAGGCAAACAAGTGTCGACACCTACGAATCTTGACAACCCGAGACTGTTGGTGCGGTACATAGCCACGAAAACAGGCAACTATTCCATGTCTGTGGCTGGATCAGGGAGTGTATATGACGGGCCAGTCATGGGCAGTCCTTTCAGCCTCTCGCTCATTCCCAACCTTTGCTGCGCCTCAACCTCAACAGCTAGCGGTACCAGCCTCTCCATCGCTACTGCAGGTAGCGCGGCGACCTTCACGATATTTCCAAAGGACGAGTATGAGAACGTGAGGTTGTATCCGGCAAACCTGGATACCTTCGATGTGCGAGTGAGGCAATATGATGATCGCTCCCTGTGCCTTCTACAAGGTGGACAATCTTGCGAGAGTTGGTTTGAAAGTCCAAACTTCATCACCATCGGAGGGCCTGACAAGGTCAGTTTTGAATATCCTCCTGTCTTGCAGCTTTGACTGACTTGTGTCCTCGTGAAAACAGCACGCGGATGTCTTAAGGAGAGCGGATGGAATGCATGAAGTAACTTTCACAGCAACGAGGCAGGGGATCAATCATATCTGGGCAACGCTTGCTACTCAGGTGAGATATAAGAAAAGTTTGACTCGGACCTTGACGTTGTGTCGTTGGTCACAGGGTGGAATCAAGCTCGATTACTACAACGTCTCCGTAAACCTGCTGAATACGAGCAATTTCTCAGCTGTCGATTTCTCTCTCAACCAATCTACCTTCACTTTGCGCTGGTCAGGCCTGGTACGACCGAGCTTGACGGGTCTCTACACCTTCGTGCTTGGAGAGTCTTCATACGTGGAGTCAGAGAAGATTCGGATGTGGGTTGACAACTCTCTTATCATCGACCAGTGGACCTCGAGTTCTCCCACAATGACCAATGTGTCTGGTTTCGCCGACACGACATACGTCGGCACCTTCTTCATGCAGATGGGCAGATATTACGATATCTTTGCAGTCTACAGACAGACAGAAGTCTCTCCAGCTGTGAACAGAATCAAGCTTGGATGGAAATCACCGAGATCATCGAATGCAACAACAATCTCTTCGTCCTACCTCTACCTCTCTTCGCATGTTCGTGGAAGTCCTTTCGCTGTAAACATTTGGTCAGCCTCTATATCTGCAGGCACTTCCAGGGTCTTTCAGCCAGGCTTGTCGCTAGCTACGGCAGGACGGAATGGGAACTTCATCATTCAGACAAGGGACGCCTTTGACAACCTCCGACACGACTCTCTCTCCCTCGTCAAGGGGACCGTGCTTGATTTCTCGGTCATCGCCAATGCTTCTCTTCCCAGGGACAACTCAGTAGAATTTCGGGTGCAAGACAGCAACCTTGACGGAGGGCTGGTCCTGCAGTCCATGAACGTGTCGTACCTCTCAGACGGCGTCTATCAGGCTACGTACGCCATGAACACGCAAGGAAGGTACAACATTCGTGGAAGGTTGCTCAAGAGCGGAGGAGTCTTTGGGAACTACTTTGAGAACGCTGACTTCTCCGACAACCCAGTCTCCCCTTGGGGCTACCTCACCAACCTCTCTCACTTTGTGCGGGTTGATCAGACTGTCAACTTCAACTGGATGGGGAACCTGAGACCCTGCGGCGACCCCCTAGTCATCGGCAAGAACATCGGGCCTGACTTCTTCAGCGTGCAGTGGAGGGGATACGTCCTGCCTGCTTACTCCGAAGTCTACACCTTCCATCTCACTGCCGACGATGGCGCGAAGCTGAAAGTGAACGACCTTCTTGTAGCCAACAGGTCTGCAGGCTCCTGCGTGCAGGTGGATGGGACCATCGCACTGATGCAGGAGACTTTGTATCCCATCGCCATCGACTACTACGAGTACGTCGGCAACGCTACGGTAACCCTGGAGTGGAGCAGTCGGTCCCAACCCAGGACTCTAGTCCCTTCAGATCGCCTTTACACATGGACTACTTCCTTCTTCCTTAGCGACTCCAATGCCCCGCTCTTCGTCGAGCCTGCACGACTCTGTGCTAGCACTTCCTCCGCCTTCGGAGCCCAACTCACCATATCCACTGCTGGGAGCGCAAGCAGCTTCTTGATACAGAGTCGCGATCAGTTTGACAACAACCGCAAGGGTCCAGACAATGACCTGCCCCCTCAGACTTTCTCGAAGGCTCTCAAGGTGTGGAGCGGCACCCTCGTGCAAAACTCTGCCAACTCCTTCACTCTGGACGCTACTGCATCCAACTTCGACGGCTTCTACGGAGGGATGGGAATTCACTTTGACATGATGAGAACGGACGCTATGGTCATATCGCAGACCGGGCGATACATCACCATCAGTCGGTCTCTCTCCGCTCCTCTTGCTACCAATGAACGTGTCACGATCTATGACCCTCGCTCGATGTCTCCTCAGGACAGAGAACAGTACGACTACGGCTTGCCAGGGTTTCATGCTTTCCTCTTCCCCGTCTCCGATCTCGACGCCTCGATCGTCCATGCCGTCCTTGACCGGCAGCCGAGCATTCAGTTTGCAGGGGGGTTGACAGCCACGTACTATGGACTTGACAGCTCGACAGGAGCCGTTCAGAGTGCGCTATGGAGCACCTCCTGCGGCTATGGAGCTCCGTGCGAGGAGACGATCGATTTCAGCTTGACATCTGGAGCGGTGGAGCGAACTTACGGAACTTCGTCTGTCAGGCCCTTCACAACAAGGGGATGGAAGGAGGCAGAGCAACTGGGAGGGGCTGCCTATCAAGTCCGATGGAATGGCTTGATTTCCTCTACCATCTCAGGGGTCTATACCTTCACCTCCTCCTTCTTTGACCCTTCGGTGAATCTCGATGACCGGGTCAAACTTTGGATTGACGACGAGCTCGTTATAGAGCAGTGGGCCTCCCTGAGCAACCAGCTCCCCTCCGGCACCTTTCACTTCTCAAACTCGTACCCTCAAGCGTACAAGATCAGCGCGTACTACAAGAATGTCAAGAACGTCACTGCCTCCGGCCTCCAGCTCACTTGGAATAGTCTGTCCATGGGCTCACCCAACCGCACGCTCGTGCCTTCAACTCGGATGTTCCCCCTCAGCGGCAGACACCTTGTCAGCTACACCTGCACGCGAGCTGGGGACTATCAGATGCACATCTCCTCAGCTGAAGGCTTCGGCCTTGACGCCACGTTCTACAGCGACGTCGACCTGACGATCCCTCGCACCTCCCTAGTGATGGAGAGCCCCAAAACCAGCATGCTGGGCCCTGAGATCCTGCAGGGTGACACATCTTTCTCTCTCAGGTGGGTGGGATACATCCGGCCGTACATCAACTCAGACTCATCGTCGTCCGCCGGAGACGTGTTCACCTTCCAGACCAACGTGTTGGAGACGGACGAGAAGGTTCGATTGTGGGTGGACAACGTCCTCTTGATTGACCAGTGGAACGTCAACTACGGGACTTCTTTCTCAACAACCACCGTCTTGCACGCGCCCCAGTGGTATGAGCTCAAGGTAGAGTACTCTCAGAACGGCGGCAGCGGCAGCTCTTTCAACCTACTGTGGAAGTGTGCTGTGCCGGGGGAGAGCTGCGCAACGGACGGTCTTGTGGACATATCGTCCAACAGGCTCTACAGGAGCCTGCATGTGATCGGTAGCCCCTTTCCTCCCTTCACGGTCTTCCCAGCTCCTACCTGCTCGTCCACCAGCACTGTGAGTGGCTCAGCCCTCAGCTCGGGAACAGCTGGGGTCGTTGACAGCTTCGTGATCGAGTCCTTTGATGAGTTTGGGAACAGTAGGAATGTCGGAGGCGATCGATACGTCGTGCGCGGCGTCCCCTTTCCCACCTGGAATGTCATGGAGCCTTATGCGGAGGTGCGGGGGTCACAGGATTGTATCGGTTGTCTCTCTAACATGCGGTCCAATGTGACTGACCTCGGGGACGGGAGTTACAGAGCTGACGTGGTGGGAAAGACGATGGGCTCGTACAAGGTTCTCACTGACCTCGCGCTGGGCGGCAGCCTGGTAGCGACTTACTACTCTTCCAACGGCAGCTTTGCGTTTCAGCGAGGACACAACGTGTACTCCGTCTCTAACAACTCCCAGCTGCTCGACAGTCTCAACGACTTCGCCTCTCCTTGCCTGTACCGCAAGGAGTGGCCGGGAGTCCTTCCAGGAACGTACCAGTGCAGCGGTTGGATCTCAGGAAACGCGACAGGAGGGACGTCGAATTCTATCTCAGTACAAATGGACCTTTGGCAATCGCTAGTCCCCTACAGTGACTGGAGAGTCAAGATCATTGCGGGGACGTGTAGAGGGCAGACTAGAATCGTTCAGAGCAAGAGCGGTCAGTCAGTCCACGTCACTCAACCCTGGAACGCTGCGTCAGGGTCGTCCCCCGACGTTTTCAACACGTACGTGCTACAAGCTTACCAGGGGTGTCAAGCTCCCGACGGGACCTCGCAGTATGTCTTGTTCTCGGTCACGTCCCCTCCTGGCAGCGTTCCTTCCTCGGCCTTTGGCGTGCGATGGTCGGGGTACCTTCAGCCAACTCTCCTGCCTCCTTACACGTTCCTGGCGACACTCAGCGACGCTGCATCGAACCAAGAGAGGATGAAGCTGTGGATCGACGACACTCTCATGATCGACCAGTGGGACTCGCTCTCGACCTTCGTCCCCTCTTGCACCTTCCAGTTCACGAGCTACGGGGTTGACAACCTCTATCACCTCCAAGTGACTTACAAGCGGGGAGCCTCCACCTCCTCGCCCCCGAGGTTCAACCTCCAGTGGCTCA